GGCAGTGTTGCTTGTAGAATCCCACAGACTTCTTTCACTCGGTCACAAGTTCTTTACATTTTGTGGCTTTGTTAGGAGTGATGATAGGGATTGGATGATGAGATCGACAAGGCGATGCTCAGTGGGGGCGAAAATTTGTGTGGGTCGACATGCATTGTTGCAGAGGTGGTTGCAGTGGAATTCTCGGTTCTATTTAGCTTTCTTTTGTTTTGGGCCTTAACTTTTGGTCGGGCACTTGTTCGGCTTGTTTGGCTGGTCTAATTATGCTTGTTTATTTTTTGTTTCTGTTTCTTTGTATTGTAAGATTTTATTAGTAATGAATTTTACCTTTGTACCAAAAAGAAAATATTGAGCTTAGTAGCCGGAAAAGTAATTTTCCTTCAATAATCCAAAGCTTACCCGCATGTGCTAGGAAATTGAGATTCTAATCAGAAAATTCAACTCATAGGCTTTAGATTCTAACTTATATTTTTTTAATTACATTAATTGTGGGTCCTAAATAAGAGTTAATTTAGCAAGTGGAATACTAGTTGGTGGAGTCTGTTTACACTTGCTTTTTGACGGATTTGGATCCCATTCGGATTTAAATTGTAAGAATTCTAGGGATACTTATATTTTAGTCATTCATCATGCATGGTACAGTAAAAAATTATTTAAAATTTTTATTTAAAATTAAACACAATAGTATCTAACAAAAACTAATCGCACGATATACGATGGACGTACCTCTTCTCTTTTTGACCGAATATTGCTACTATTTTCCGTAACGGTTAATTGTCTCTTTCCATTTGTTAATAATTGATAAGAAAATGATTCGACTTTGGATTTTTCTGTTGAATTCCAGTGCATGTGGATTTTACATAAAATCCAGCCTTTTACCGCACACTCATGTGTGTAATAATTTACTCTTTTGAATGCTATTTTTTACTTATAATTTTTATTTATTTTTTAAGAAATATAAAAATTATAAATTAAGGATAATGCTAAAGAGAACAAATTTTTAAACTAAATGATGTGCTCGTTAATCAACCTTTTAGTAATAATTCACCACATCATTTGGTTTACAAAATTTGATATAAAAATTTGATCGCTCTAGTATTACCCATAAATTAAATTATTTTATTTTAAAAATTTTAATTAGAGAGGTGTATTTTTGAAATTATGAATGATCTTGATTCACCATTTTTTTCCTTCTGACATCATATATATATATATATATATATATATTAATTATATTAATTGTGGGTCCTAAATAAGAGTTAATTTAGCAAGTGGAATGCTGGTTGGTGGAGTATTTTTACACTTGCTTTTTGACGGATTTGGAACCCATTCGGATTTAAATTGTGAGAATTATAGGGATACTCACATTTTAGTCATTCACCATGCATCGTGAGGTCATAAATCATTTGACTTTTTTTTATTTAAAATTAAACATAATAGTACCTGACGAAAACTGATCGCACGATATACAATGAACGATTAGGATGTAGGAATTTATAGGAAGAGAATCCTCTTCTCTTTTTGACCGAATATTGCTACTATTTTCCTTAACGGTTAATTGTCTCCTTCCATTTGCTAATAATTGATAACAAAATGATTCAACTTTGGATTTTTTCTGTTGAATTCCAATGCATGCGGATTTTACATAAAATCCAGCCTTTTACTACACACTCATGCTTGTAATAATTTACTCTTTTGAATGTTATTTTTTACTCATAATTTTTATTTATTTTTTTATTTGATTTAAAATATTTTTTTTTATTTATTTTTTTTGACGAAATAAAAGAACTATAAATTAAGGATAGTGCTGGAGAGAACAAATTTATAAGCTAAATGATATGCTCGTTAATCAACCCTTAAGTAATAATTCACCACATCATTTGATTTACAAAATTTAGTTTAGAAATTTGGTCGCTCTAGTATTACCCATAAAATTAACTTATTTTATTTTTAAAATTCTAATTAAAGAGGGGTATTTTTGAAATTAAGAATGATTTTGATTCACCCTTTTTTTCTTCTGGCATTACATATATATAGATTAATTGTCTCTTTCTATTAGTTAATTATGATAAGAAAATGATTCGACTTTGGATTTTTGTGCTGACTTATTTCTGTGCATGCAGGTTTCGCATAATTAGTAGCCTCTTATCACACGCTCACGCGTGTAACAATTTGCTCTTTTGAATGTTATTCTTTACTTATAATTTTTTTATTTGTTTAAACATTTTTTATTTAGAAAATTTAAGAAAATCAAGTGAAACGTGGGCAGTTTTGTTCTGTTAGCTAACTATAAATTAAATTATTTTATTCTAATAATTCTAAATTCTAATTAGAGAGGGGTATTTTTAAAATTATGAACAATTCGCCCTTTTTGCCTTCAAGCTTTTATGTTTAAATGAGTACTAGTACAAATTAGATGGCTTCTTTTTCATGCCTTCTTCTACCAAATTTTTTATACAGCAATCCACCAATCTAGTTGGTATATTTCAAGTTTAGAAAAGTCACATTTTCGTGTAAGGTCCCAAAATTTCAGAGACGATTTTGTTTATAGCTAATGAATAGGCTTCACATAACCTAAACTATTAATGAAAAACACTTAATGAACTATTATTGATAACAAGGATCAAACAAAAAAAAAAAAAAAGAAGAAGAAAAGTAGTAGTGAGAGGGCACTATCATATTAATCTTCTTCAATTCATTCGATTAAACGGCCAGAAATTGACAAAGTCTATGATAAGTAAAAATGAGCATGTGTTGTGTGAATTGCACCACACCATAGCACTATCCTATGTTAAAACATAAACAAATTGATAGTACGTATTTTTTGGGATATGTTTTTTTTTTTAACAGAAAAAAAATCTACTAAATTCATAGTATTCACCCATTCTCCTAGTGAGATACTAGGAAGACTCTCTCAAAGTTACATATCCGAATCAACCACTTAGACCCGCCACAAGTAAATGGTTGCCTCAAATGTTACCTATCCGAATCAGCCACTTAAACCCACCACAAGTGAATGATTGCTTAAAATGGGATAGTTAAAGTGTGAATCGAAATTAAATTAGTTAGTGCTTGAAGAATTCGAAGTGTAGGAAAACATAAACGGTCAAGAACAATAATTGATCAGTAAAGGTCTAGGAAACTTAGTGTGTAAATTAAAATATTTGGTGCTTGAAAATTTCAGGAGTGTAGGAAGATATGAAAGGTCAAGAATAATGCTTGGTCAGTAAAAGTGTAGTAAACTAATTAGTGAGTTAATTGAAAGGGTTGTTTTATTCCCACCCCATGTATTGTTAGATACAGAGTCAATCAAAGTAACCTCGCATATTCCTTATTCTTCCACCACCCAAATACGAACCAATTATCCTCTTCTTTCACTGTATGCAAATCAAGTTCCCAACCAAACCTTATTCACATATATTGTGCTTCTGCTTGTGTATATAGTGTTGCTGAGTGAGGAAGTCGTAGTCAGACAAGAAGGAAGATTACTTTCCAATTAACACTTTCACTTTCCATTAAGGACTTCTTTTGTAAATCATTGTCTTTCCACTAAGTTTTAAATTTTCCTCAAATGGATAATATATTTAACAAGCATTGCCTTTTACTAGTTTTAGTTAGCTTCAAAATAATTACTTTAGGGGCGTATTCAGATTTTTTTTTTTTTTTTTTTGAGAAAAAAGACTTTTTAGCCAAAATAGCCTATGAGATTTGTCTAACTCTTCACTTTGGTTCATAAGATTTGAAATTAATGGAAATGGTCGTTGAGATTGTCCACTATCAATTATTTTGGTTATTCGGTGAAAAATTATGTTAAATAAGGATCCAAATGACAAAATTACCCTCAATATGATAAACAATAGGCCAAAATGATTTGACAAAAATTGAGGGTATTTTTGTCATTTTATCCTTATTTTATAGAGATTTTTTTTTACGGAATGACCAAAATGATTGATTGTAGACAAACTCAAGGACCAATTCTATCGATTTCAAATCTTAGAGACCAAAGTAAAGAGTTTTGCAGATCTCAAAGACTATTTTGGCTAAAAAGCCAAAAAAAAAAATCTAGGGCCTTGATAGGATTTTTCATGAGTAGAAACTCTTACAATTTTTCATGTCCAATTTATAAAATTTCATACTTATAATCGGAATTTTTCATGATATGAATCGCTATCTAAATATCATTTTGTAGAAAATAAACAGTTTTGATTACAAGGCACAAAATAATCTTTATAGTTTGATTATAATATGAATGATTCTTACCATAAACATGAAATTCTATGAGTCGAAAACAAAATTTTTTGAGTAAGAGCTCATACATTCTTGGGCATTTTGTATGTGAAGATTGCTACGAGGTTTGTCTGGAAAAAACCTTAGCCGATGTAACCCCATTCGATCTCGTCAGTTGTCAGTTCGGCTTGCATTTTTCCTGGTCTACTGAGGCGAGCTAATGTATCGGCTATGCTTCACCCTGGCGGTACTTTTATTGGAACAATGTCGGATGCGAATGTGATTATCAAGAGTTGAGCTTTGATAATAGGGGTGTGCGCACACTTCATTTTACTTTTCACACAACCCTTGATAATTTATGTCCATTGATCTTTTTTAATTCATCCAATCTGACGGTCGAAAATTAAAAAAGTGTGAGAAGTAAAATAAGATGTGTGGATATTACACCTCTTGATAAAGCATCTACTGGATACGTTTCGATGAAGAATTTTCTGAAAAGAATTTCAAGAGTTCAAAGCACGCTATCAGAAGATGAATGGGACACAGCTTATTTGTATGTCGCATTTGTCTTGAGGAAGCAAGGGGGATCTGACCGGACACATGTAAATGGTGGACGACACAAAGGGAGGATGTATATATCAAAAGAGGGCATCCTGTACGCTAGCAGTGATTAACGGAACACACCGATGATGTCTCAAAGGTTATTTTTTGTGGCAAAAGAAAACGACGATTTTTGCTCGGCCAAACAGGAAAGCAGAAGAGCTCAACTCCCACATTGTTCTACTGTCTAGTTCTTGCAATGGATGTAATTATTCAATTTAATCAGACAGAGAAATCCTAATCATGCATTTTGGGCCGATTAAAACATTATGTGCACATGAATTTTGCTAATCTTACTTCTCACTTGTGAGTGTTTGTATAAATACTTCGTAAATGAATACCAACAAACAACGAGTCATGCAAACTCACAAATACATGGGCATCATCATAGAGATCATAATCGATTCCATCAACCAACGCCTTTGTGTAGTGACGACGAGCTTGAATTATATCTTCATCACTGTTTTGGATTATATTGAACATAAAAAACCAAAGGTACACAATCAAAAAACAAACAAACAGTAACCAACCTGATGAAACACAGAAGGACTACTTGGTGTAAGTCAGAGAAAACATATACAGAAACTAAAACTTACTCGTTGGAGATGTTTTGCCCATTCATCTTTGGCTTCTGCACCAATGCAAGGATCACGGTCAAAATTAAATAAGGGCACAATATCGTAAAGCATTCCAACAACATATATCAAGCTAATACCAATGGTTGATACTTGATACTCAAGTTTAATATCTTCAGCATGTATTTCGCGAAGCAAATACAGTGGCAGATGAATCACCTTCTCTTCTTTTGGTCATAACTAACCTAATGTATCAGTTTGCTTCTCAAATTTTCCTATTACCACTGGATCATAACTATGCATAATATAAGTATCCAAGGATTGTGATTTTCCTTTCATAATATTTCTTCATTTCCTTTTATAACCCAAGGAATAACATAAAAGACTCACAACTGATAACTAACTATGCGGCTTCAAATAAAGTTATTGGAGGGGAGGCGGGCATGCGGGAGGGAGGGTTTCACCACACCCGCCATGCCACCACAACCGCCAGATTCATCCAATGTTGCCAACAAAACAAAAGGACACTTTGAAAATTCAGCAACTTGAACAATAAGCAAATCCAACAAAGAACTGTAAAATCAAGTTGAAAGCTTTAAACCCAAAAATTCTTACCAAAGCTTCATATTACTTGATCAACTATAAACCCTAAATCTCCAACATTTTGCACCAAATCAAAGGTAAATTCTAAAAAATAAAATAAAATAAAAAACAGAACTTGAACCAAAATCTCTTACCTTTCCAACATATCTCTTGGGGTATTGCTTACGAGACTCCTCGTCTTCCATCGGTTCGCCAAGGAACCTCGCTTCCCCTCCGTCATCATCAGCCGCAGCTACCTCCTGAGTCATTGGGTTCCTCGGTGGAGAAGCAGCTTTTTTCCACACTCGTTGCTACCTCCTCTTCAACTCTCGCCTCCTTGTTTTGCCTCGGCTTCTTCGATTCCGAGGGAGAACCTGAAGAGGTTCCGACCTTCGCCTTCCGCTTGGAAGCCATTCTGCGTACGGCGCAGAGAGAGAGCGGAGAGAGGCTGCCCGGAGAAGACGGTGGAACTGACAGAAAGAGAGGGGTGGACAGAGGGAGAGAAATGCGCGATAGGGTTTTTTTTGTGAGTGCGTGAGTGATTGGGATTCTGTTTAGAAGTGGGCCGTGAAATTTTGAAGGAGTGGGGACTGCGGGGCGTGTGGGCGGGAAAACGGAAATTTTGGAAAATGGGATTTGAATTTTGGGAAAAGGATTCTTGCCGGATCTTTTTTCTAGGGATTTGAGGGATCCCGTGATCGTAATTGTTCATCGCATATCGTACGGTCAGAAATTATTAGGTACTATTTATATTTAATTTTAACTTTTGAAATGATTTTTAACCGTACGATCTACGATAAACAGTCACGATCACGGAATCCTTAGGATTCCCAGAAAAAGGATCTGATGAATTTAGAGGTGACGTTTTGGTTTTGGAACATTGGGACTTTGGGGGTGTTTGGTGAGAATGAGATGGGAATTTTGGCTAAGGTTGTGTGCCCATCTCATTGTGCATGAGTTTGAATTTTCATCCACGTTAATTAGGGCATTTTACAATGTGTTTGTCAAAAAACAAAAGGTGGAAAGTATTTATTTTTGGTGTTGAAAGTGTTCTATCACTACAACTAAGCTAGGATCCAAATTACTTTGCAAAATTTTTTGTTGTTGTAGAATGGAATGTCGAGTTGATTCAACGGCTCTTGCGAAATCACGTTATTGTATTCCGGCAAACATGGAGGAGAATTGAAGCCATGTTGAATTTCAGGATTTATGCATCACCTTTTTCGCAATGGGTTGGCAATACCCCATTACTTGGAAGCTTTATGTTGATACTGGATGATTTTCAAGTGAAAAGTGCATTGCATATGATCAACTAAAGCAAAACTATCCATGCATGCTGCCAATAGGATCGAAATAAAATTGTGGGTTTAGACCTTGGCTCTTGAGACGGATCAAAAATTGTGATGTAGAGGACTATGTCGGATTCAAAAGTGACTAGTGAAAATGAGCTTTTTTATAAGTTCAGTTTGAAGAGAGTGAAACTAACAAAGTTGCAAGTCAGTGAAAACCTTAGGATGGCTGAACACTATTTAATTTTGAAAGACAATTGATCTTCATGATTGAATGTATCTAAATGTAGCTCTGGTATTCGGAGTCAAGCAATTTCCAATGCAAAAATTCTAAACAAAATTATAATCCATGAGAAATTTTGATTTGTTATCTTGGTGGAGTACTCAACCCTTTGAACCACGGTTCGATGCAAGTGTTAGTAGAAGTATTTGAACTTATTTGTTTAGATTTATATATATATATATGTACGTATGTATGTGTATTTTCTTTATATTTCTTCATATTCCCTTTTCATTATTTCAATCCAATAGGGAAAAAAAAAAAACTCATCTTCCCCTCCACGTCCATATAATTTTCTATTTCGTGTCTTTCTTTGATATGCTAAGGATTTAGAGTGTATTATTAATATATAAGTTGACGTTTTACAATATTAATACATTAAAAATATTATATGGTGATGTGACAACTAAACTGAAAACTTTTTTCGTCAAAATAGAAGTGTAAGGAACTCTGAAGTAGTGGAAAGAGAATGAAAGGGAAAAAAAAAAAATTAATGAAAAAACTTGAAAATTTTGAGTTTTAACAAAAAAGACAAAAAGGTGTTGTAAGTTAATAGTACCATGATTGATTTTTTAGAGTAAAAATGTAGGTTTTCGTTAAAGTGAATAGTACCGAGAGTTTTTCGTTAAAGTTTACAAAAAAAAAGAAGGTAGAATAGACATTTAAAATAAAAAAATGAACGTCCCACATCCAACAGGATCATCTCTGGATTCTCTTTGTGAGGATTTTGGAGATCTATGAATCGTGTTCGTTCATCGTACATTGTGCGGTTAACTTTTGTCAGGTACTGTTTGTGTTTAATTTTAAATGAACAAATTTAAAAAAAATTATGACAGCACAATGTACGATGAATGGACACGATTCATAGATCTCTAAAATCTTCATAAAGAGAATTCGACAAGAATCCAGATTCAATATATTCCGTTTCCTCCCCATTTGTATGCCCATCCCGATATCCCATCTCCTCATTTATCGACTGACACCACCCATTTGTATTCACACATTCTCTCACGAGCAACTAAATGCTACCACCTACTCACAATCACACGTCCTTTCGTCGGTCTCTCCCCATCCCAAGCCACACCCAACACTAAGAAAGCATAATCATTTACCAAACAATAATGGTATTTGGACACACAAAATTTGCCTCATTGCTGAAAAACTCTATGATGCAAGTAAGTTCTATCTTGGTATATAGGTTGGACCATCTTTATTAGAAGTGTATTTAAATAGCATTACTTTTCATTATATAATTTTTAGTACAAGCAATATTACTACTTTAATTTACACCAAAGAAAAGAGGAAAAGTTTGAACCCCGACGCAATGAGTTAAACATTTATACTTTAATCACTAGCATAATTCACCACTTGCCTCTCCATTAAATGTTAGACGTGGCAAATGTGAGTGACCAGGTTTTATGCTTACCTGGCTTCTTGGACAAAAATTTGACAAGAGTAATTTGAATAAAGATAACTTACAAAGGTCTCTAGCTAGAGGGAACTCCGGTTGTCAGTTGATCATAATTCGTCTAGGATTTGCTTAGCTAGCTGACAATACGTATATTTCTAACCCTTGTTTCAAGTCAATATATAGTATCATCTGCTCTATGCAACATTCTATCCATTGATTAGTAATTAAGGGTTTTTTCTCTCCTAATTTGTAAAAAGGATTTGATTTTCCTTATACACACAACCATGAACAATATCTTCTGAGTAATGCTATTCATACCATGTTTTTATACCACATTTCTACACCACCTTACAGCATTTTCAAAGGAGATGTCAAAATGTCAAAATGTCCAAATCATCAATAACGGTAATAAAAGACAACATTAATGTTTTTCAACCAAGAAGCCAAATTTGATGTGACATGACATGGAATACATCTCTCCCCCTTGTTGCCAAATTTAACAACACCTTCAAATTTTTTTAATTAATTTTTAAATGCTTTTTATTAATTTTTATTGGTTTTAAGCATTATCCTTTTGTTTCTTTTCATTCCCAATGCAAAGAAAATACATATGAATTTTTATTTTATGTTTAAAATTTGACATATCGGTTGGAGAGCAAAATTTAAAAAATGTCAATGTGCCATGTAAGCCTTCAAATTTAAATTTTAGGTTTAAAATTTGATATCTCTGTTGGAGATGGTCTTAGGTGGCATCTGATGTGGACAGGGACAACCATATCATTTGAAAAATTTGCAAAACCCAAGGAAAGGAAGGAGAAAGACTCCTTGTATACCACAATTATCATTTAATTAACTAGTTTTTCTTAATTATTAGTTTATTAACTAATGAACTAAATTTAAAAATCTAATTAATTCAAATGATGTAGTTGTCCACATCAAATGAAACCTAAAATGGTATGAAAATGTAGTACAAAAATATGGTAAGAATAATATTACTTATATCTTCTTAATATTCCTCCTCTTCTTCATTAATTGAAGCAAGCATGCATGCGTTGACTTATTATTCGTTCAAACCAGGCCTAAACCCTAGGGACGAGTCAAAAACTAATGTGGAGAATCTAGTGTATATTCTCTCTCTCTCTCTCTCTCTTTCTCTCTGTGTCCTCCACCACCTCCTCCCCCTGAAACGAAAACAGATCACTCAATATAGCCCCAACGAATCCCAGTCGCTGCACCACTGTTGCGTCACTGCTGACAGAATGATTTAGTAGTCCCGTGTCACCAACGGTTCTCCAGAAAGGCACAGGTCACTTGTCGATGTGAATGATGACATGTACAGTTAGATCTTTTTGGTTTTGAAAAGCGGTAGGTCTGATAAAGTGATGGATTCGTATTTGCTATGGGATCATTTGACATACTAATTAACGATCTGATTAAAAGAAGGCATTACGCATATCTTTTTCCTGAGTTTATTTACCAGTACCTAAGGTCTTATTACAAAGCCGGATGCCAATTTGATCTTTGCCTTAGTGTTTGAGATGTGTTATAGCGTTTTTGTCATGATACCGAGAAAGCTGGAGTGAGTTTAAGGAGTATCTGCTAGCTCATCGTGTAGGGATCCCCAAACCTTAATGCATGCTAAATTATTGGTACGTCCAGCCCAGCCAGCCTAATTCCTTTACCACTTTTTTATAGGTATAGGTACGTCCACAAGTTTGCAATTATTCTGAGTCAAATTACGTCGGGACTATAATTAAACTTCATCGGTTAACCCGTTTTGCCGAACTTTAGGTCAATAGACTGTTATATTAGGTCCATGCGGACTATGGCAACCCACATTACACAAAATCAATCAAGATGGAAAATGTTGAATGAGTCTTCGCAACAACCCATTTATATGGGAGAGAGATTTGGTCATTTCAAGTTTTAGAAAATCTTATTTTTATCATATTGTTGTGTATGTCATGTGCATGTTATGTGAATATCAAAAAAAAAAAAAATTCCTATTTTTATCCCAAAATTAAGAAAATAGCACATTTGTGTCAATTTCTCAAAAATAAAACTGACCTATCACTCCCACCCATCACAAGATGGTAGACCATGCATTAAAATGCCAGTAAACGCCATTGTTGATATGTAACGTTTTTAGTGTATATTTCTCAATGTCCCTCTGCTTAATTATGATACGTACATTGAAAAATTTCTCCCATCATGTTATACATGGCAACCAATTTGTAAATTTAAAATAATAAATGAGATAGTAGCCAAATTTGCAATAGATCCCACCTGATACGTTCAAAAATATTTTAGGGCAAAGAAAAGTATATAATATGAGTTATCAAGTAACAATAGGAAATTTTCTTAATTAAAGATTTCACCATCTCATTGATTACTATCAGATGAATTTGATTTAGTCTAGCTAGTGGACGAATCTCGAAATTGAAACTTATCTAACGCTAATCAATAGGGTGGTGATAAAAAATATTTCTTAGAAAATTTTTAGGATGGGTTTGTGAGGATATGAATGTAAAAAAGTCTTATATTGATGAAAGGAGAAACCTTGTAATTAATGACT